ATAAAGACACAGTCACACCAAAAAATTATGGTGTGACCGTTGAGACACGTGGAGCGCGCCCGAAGTACTTTCTGAACGGCACAGAGTGCGCGCACTCGGTGTGCCGATAGCATTTATGAACGGTTAGTGCGTCGTACCAGTGTCACACGCACACTGAGTGTGTCATCCCTGAACTCGCCCCTGATGTCATCACTTGAGGCGTTTACGAAAAGTAACCCGGAGTTAACTCGATCTCCCAAAGTGCGTTCGAAAATGGATCGATTAAACCTGACCTGCGTCCGAAAATGGATCAGATCCACGACTCGGGGCAAACTTTTTTAACCCTACAAAAGAGCAGGGTTCGCGAAGTTTATTTACGGTCAAATCAGCTGATCGCTTTTGAGATTTTTTTTCCAATTAAAGTTAGAATCAGAAAAGAAAATAATTGAATTCTAATGGCGAAAAAGACAAAAGACTCTTCACAGAGGAGGATTATCACAAGATTTTAGCTGGAGGTGAAAAAATTAGACTTGAGGATATGTTCATTCGACTGAACACGTTCGAAAAGTATAACTCGGAACGGGTAAACCTATGAACAGCTGATTGGATCTACCCTACCTTTTCAGATTACTTTTCATAATCGCCTTTGGAATGCACTCTGGGTGCGCTATTTCTGAACGTATTGGGGCGTTGCGGTGAATGTCATGTCATGAATTACGTCAAACCCCATGTAAAACCCGCGGAACGTTTTTCAACCCAGTCCCTGAGTGGGGTAATTTGGATGCACTCTGGGACCTTATTCTTAAAACAGGGGAGCAGTGTTTTCAGGAGAACGAATGTTGCGTCTTTCTCAATGTTATGCAACTGATAATATAAGCAATAAAGATAGAACACTCGTTTTCCTGGGAACACTGCTCTCCTGTTTCAAGAATAAGGACCCTGGTCACGTCAACTCTGGATTTCTGAACGATTCCAGCATAACACTCCGAGTAAGCACCTGTTAATTTATGAACGGTTTAGAGTTACTCTAGGGTCACTCTCACACCCAGAGTGTTATTTCTAAACGCAACCCTACAAGATTGCTTATCGGCCTCGTTTTTGGTAATCGCCGCCATATTGGTGTGTCACTATTTCCGACGTCATAACTAAGTTGTCAGCTGTTTAAAGAGCTTACGTCAAGCCTACGTCACAACTGGTGATTTGGTGGGGGAAGAGCAGGGAAGATTTGTTGCACGCAGACCTTATGAAGATAGGCTATCCTAGACATCCTTGGAAAAATATAAACTGTATGGTGTTTTATTGTCATTTGAATAGGCTTTTAAGGCGCAGTTTATTCATAAACTTGCTGGTAACTATCTGCAAGATAAATTTACCGTTCTATAATTTTATTGTTTTTATCTGTCAGAGTGCATACCTGAAACTTTATCAGAAGGTGAATAAACCGGCCCTAAGTTAAATAAATACATAATAAATATTATTATTGAAAAATAAATATAAATCTCAAGCCCCCCACCACGGCAAAGTACCAGTAATAACGCAGGCAGCGTTTCTCGCCTAGACGTAGGGTGCTTGCAAGGATGATAATCGCCGCCATATTGGTATGTCACCATTTTCGACGTCATAACTAAGTCGGCAGCTGTTTAATGGCCGTTTCCACCAACTATTATCCTTGGGATGCTTGTTCCACAGGGTATGATTACGTTGATTTTTGTATATTTGGTTTCAGTACATTATTCATCATTCTAGAACATCCCTTGTTTAGATCTCGTTTGCATTTTCTTCTTTGCATATTATGTTAATTAACATTAAATAATATTTTTCATTGTAAATATGTAGTATATACTCTTAACTATCACCGCTGGCGCATTCCTCGAATGAAACCGTTGATGACGTCGACAACGGTGCAACATCATATGAACTTGATTTGATTCCGAAAATCGAGGCCTTACGAGCAATTCTGTAGTAGTGTGTAATACCTTTGTTGTAGCCAGAAATGCGCGCTTTCCAACGCTCTGTTTTTAAGAGTTTCAAACTTATTACGATACGACCAAACAGCAAACAGCCTAATTTATGGAATCTTGATACCGACAAATACCGGTAAGAACCGATTAATTTATGTCGGTTCCGGTTTTGCCTACTTTACAACACTTCTATGGAATATATGAGTTTCGTTCCGGTTCCAGTTTGCAAAAAAAAAAAAACGGTTCTGTGTTCTGTTCCGGTTTTCGGTTCAATATCGTTCCTGTTTTAACCCCGGGTTAAACGTGTCCAATTGTAATGTTTACCTTGGAGTTATGCTTACCCCTAAGGGCCGGTTTCTCAATAGCAGGTCACCTGCTCTGGGTTAAGCTAATTCCAGGGTAAACATTGCAACTTTACACGTTAACCCTGGAGTTAAAACCAACCCGGGGATAACTCGCTATTGAGAAATCGGCTCTTAATAGGTATGACCAAAATCTGTATAATGTTCGATTTGTATTATCTACATTGTTTCTACAATAATCTGGCTACACTGTAACGCACTACACTATTTCCAACAGAATGTATTTTGAAAAACCTCAATTGTATTTTAGAATGATTCATTTGTGTTTAAGAAATTCCCCAAATGAATAATGGAATAAATTTCTTAAATACAAATGACTATTCTAAAATACAATTAGGCACTAGCTGACGTCACACACATAACCTCACTTCCCTTGGGGGGACAAACAAAGCGTTTGAAAGGTCTAATTAACACACAGGCGCTAGCTTGTCACCACAATGACATAACGTAACTTTCGATAGGGGGACAAACACGTCATTGAAGTTATATGTGTGACGTCAGCTAGCACCTAATTGAAGCTTTCTAAAATACTTTTGAATATGGTGTAGTTGCCCGTGCATATCGTGTTCTATTACTTTCTAACCTGTTTTCACTACAATTGAGATATTTTTTTCTATTTATGTGAGACAATTAAGTCGATTTTTAGGAGATTCTATATGCAGACAGATTAAGGATGTTCAATCTACCAACCCTAAGGTTCGGTTTCTCAATGGCGAATCACTTCCGGGTTGGTTTTAACTCCAGGATTAACGTGTCCAGTTGAGAAACGGGCCCTTAAGAACAGTAGAGAGAAAAGATCTCATTAGGAACTTTAGTTTATCAAATAAGAGGAAACTTGATTTTTTTCCAAACGTAAATGTTCATGTTTTAAATGATTTTAATATTCATATTTTTTCTGTTCCAGGCTCTTGAATTTTCTCTATTTCCACAAATTCAAGAGCCGGGAATAGACAAAAATTGAGCTGGAAAAATTAGGAATCCATATTGAAATCCGTATGATTGCCACTGCCACCTACGATTAATATTTTGCCATTTTTCTCAAAAACAATGTGTTTAACGAAAAAATTCCAAGAGACAAAAAAAGTTCTAAATTGAATGGGCCTTCTAACTGAATAATATTTTCGGAACGCAACCCAAGTTTTAAGGCTCCAAAGACTCCACACCCTGTATACACACACGTTACGAATTTCAAAATTGTAAAAATCGCCATTTTTATTTGCTTCAACCCACGAACCACCTTCGAAATCTTTGAAGTAGAACGAATATAAATTAAATACAAGACAACTAATTTGCAAGGCCTGTTATTTGAGGCCGTTTTTGCAGAATCCCCCCGATGCTAATTTTAAAATGCATCATATAATGCGGACTTATACCGGGAATATTTTTTATTCGCCTGCATTTAATTAACGAAAGAGAAAAAAAAATAAGCGAAACGAATGGGCAAAAAAAAAAACAAGCAAATTTATTCCTACATCCAGCAAAACTTTTCGATATTTCGCCCCGGCTATAGTAGCCGATGTCTGCCTCGAAAGGCATCTGGGTCCATTTGCATATTATACCGAACCCGTCAAGCGCGGATACCAAAAAAAAAAAACTGACAAAACGATTCAACTTGCAAGTTTGCGAGATTTGAACGGCCTCGAATTTGAATCGCGATATAAAAAGGACCCCGACTGCGATCCTTCTCTGACCATTTTGATATAATTCTGATGATAGATTATAACAAAAATTCTCATCAGCCAACATTTTGGGTTATTTCCTGTGTTGTCGCGATAACACCCAACAACAGGTTAAAAGTCAATAATCATTCTTTTGAAAATTTTTCTAATGGAACAGCGAAATGCGAGATAAGGCGCCAAGGCACCCTTGTCGTTTAGATGCGACTGCAAGATTAGGACGTACAAATGGCGTTCCTCACTGTGGGCATCTTCCAGCTTTGAAATTATTTATGTATCGTCGGAATAAAATTACGATGTGTATTATGCAGAAACGTTTGACTTGTTTTCATAAAGAAGACATTGACATTACATTTTTGAATTTATGACATCAAAAAAAATGTTGAGGTTGTCTTATATGCTGAGACATTGAGCTGAGATGTCAGTTAACTAGTTGACTAAGAGCTGTTTGTGTGGACTCTGTAACGGATATATTTCGTTATTCCTACCTCTATGCCACTTGACTTGCTATCTTCTTCTCTCTTTTCCAAATCAATAGAGAAGATGACGTCAATATGGAGATAGAGAAAATAGGTATTTCTATTCGTTACAGAGTGCTAGCAGGTTCTGAATCATCCTTGTCTCGATTTCATTTCTAAATTTAAACTATGTATTCTTTGTGTCTCACATTTTCATGCACAACTTTCAGGAAGCAACTTTTATAGAAGATTACTTACTACTACTGTTCTCTTCACTGTTTTACATGTAGGTAGATCAAAAAGTTGATGCATACTTTATTGTGCTTTGTCATGTAAGGTCTTGTTTTCTGCACTCACGACATTTTCTGGGAGCCAGAACCATGACGGTTTATGAGAAAATATCTTTTTTGAAGAAGATTGCACTTTTTTCAGTGTCTCCATGTTTCGTTCGTATTATTAGCTTAATATAACTTCTAACTTAATACCCGGTTTATTAATTTTCTGATTATGTTTATCAGTAGGTGAATAAATCGGGGTCTTAATTTAAAAAAAAAAAACACTTACCTTTTCTAATTCTAATAGGTGAAACCGTAGTACTTGTATTGCCTGTACCATCTGGAAAAAACAAATAAATTTAAAATGAATAGGTATAAGATTTGACCCATATTATATGTTTTAACAAAGTTGTTGCAAAATGCCCATAAGCCAAAGATTGTTAAGTGATGGAAGGTTTCGACAAAAAAAAAAAACCTATATAATAACAGTAATTTTTCCGACTTAATGATAGAACAAAAATAACCCATAACTAACGTAATCCACCTCTAACAGACAATTACGTTGCTCTTGCAGCAACGCAGGCCGAAGCCGGAGAGCTATAGAAAGGAATTCCATTACGGCTAAATTATCTGTAATATAGCCGGGACAGCCGGCAAATGCACGCGAAAGATAAAACAATCCATTGTTGGGGCCCCGGCTATGCTGGTTAATTTTCTGTTTCGTGAGTCTCACTGTCTGGTCTGGGTCGCTCCAATCAGGGCAGAGCAGCACACCTACGCCTCTCCTATAAAATACTCCGTGGGCCACTAATTTGCCCCCGGAAAGCGGTGATTTATCTAATATCGCTCACTGCCCCATTGTTACAACAACTTGGTAGTAATGACACTTGGTTATAATACGCAAACCACCAACTAATAATTTGTTTCCAAAAGAAAACAGAATGCACACAAGAAGACGACAAAAATATAAGGAAGGTTACAAGAGACGGTGACCTGCGACCGCTACATTCTCGCGTGTGGTCCGTGCGATGATGCCAATAAACCCAAACCAACTTTACACGGACTTAATGTACTAATCGAGGATTTTAAACCAGGATTGAATGAAGTTGCTTCGAAAAACTTCCATATGAATTATTTGTGTTTGTCAAATTCAGATAAACCAGCTAGAGTCATCAACTAAAGCAACTTCAGATTTTTTCATTCGTAGATCATTAACTTAGAGTAGATTGAAGAACGAAGATTTGCATTGTAGCTCAGATTTTAATTTGACTCGGATCTTATGGTGTATCTAGGTGACATACTTCTGGTCAAATTCCAATATGTCTTCATTCAAGTTCATAATTTTCTAAGATTTTTCATTATTTGCCTTTAAGCCGAGCTGACACGGTCCAAGTGTATTTGGACCAAGTTAATTGGCAGCCAGTCTACTTAAGCCAGGTTGACACAATCCAAGTGTACTTGAATTAAGTAATCTTGGATCGTAGACTGTTTATCCAAGTCCAGTTGGTTAGGTTCTAAGAAAGTAAGTTGGCTGCCAACTTACTTGGTCTAAGTTCTCAACCAAGTGTACTTGGACCGTGTCAACTTGGCTAAACTTGGATGTTAGAATCCATCCAACTGGACTTAGATAATATAGTTGATACGATCAAAGTCAACATGGCTTTAAAAGCTCTCTGTCATCAAAGTCAGCTTAACTGATTTCTTTTTATCATAATGCCAAAGATCTTGCAGTTTTTCTACACTTGATAATCCGATTATTTGAACTAGCAATTTTCATATCTTCATAAAAAGTAGTTCAATAGAGTCAGGAGAATAGGGCAGATGAGGAATGATTCCAACGATTTGTAAGGCCCTACAATTGTATATTTCTGAATCACCGACTTTTTCTAATGAAGTAGAAAAATCCTAAAATGGTTCAGGAATGTTTCGGTGAGTAGTCGTTTAGTTCAGCTTAAACTCAGCAAGCAAGATCAAACATGAACTTTTTACTCTTTGAGCCTCTCAAGCTCAATTCCAGCTCTACTTGTGCTAGCAATAGAATTTTCATACCCTTTTAGTTATAATTTTAGCTCTAAGAGAGCCAGTAATAGAATTTGTATGCATCTCTAGTTCAGCGAAATCAAAAATGAGCTCTTCACACTTCAAGCCTCTCAAGCTCAATTCCAGCACTCCTTGAGCTGAGCTGGCTGGATTTTTATACTTGTTACTAGCTGTTGCCCGCGGCTTCGCACGCCCTATACAAATTTTGTAGGTGTAGGGTGTAGGTAGTATTAGGTAATCTTCTTTCAAAGAGCTAAGGGGATAGTTGCGTCAGACATATGGTCATGTAACTCTTATTTTTGCAGCACCTCTCTATAAACCACATTTTTTGTTCGGCTTTGTGGCTGCAGAATATGAAGACTATTTTTTGACAGCTGACGTTAAATTTTTTTTTAAATGCCACTCGCTGCTAATATCCTTGTTCGCGGATCATATTTTGAACCGATTCCGAACCAGTCCGGAACTAATTGAGGGCTATCGTAGAGCGCATGCCATAGCTGGGTTCGGCTTGATGACTCCGTGCACTCCGAGTGATTCCGTTCGCCTTCAGCCATTCGGGTATTACCTTATAGCTTGTCAGATAACGGCTGGAGTGCGATCGGAGTAACTCGGAGTGAGCAACCCGAACCCAACTTGTGAATGGGTTCAGGTTCCTATTTTATCGCGAACAGTTCTGGAACCGAACAAAAATTCCAGAACCTTGACTGTCGAATACGTGAACGAATTGCGAATGTCATGTCCTGGGACCGGTGGAATTTGTTCAGAAACGGTTCCGAATCGTTTCTGGTGAAAGCATGAAAATATAACGACAAAAACACATTATTTTTTTTGCACTGATTCTGCAAATGGAAATCGCTATGAATTTGATTCTGCTTGTCATATTTCTGAATTTGACAGCTGACACGTCGTCTGTTTCTGTTTACACTTTTTCCCCGCACTCCCGCACCACACCGTTTCTTATTTTTGGTTATTTAAGGCGATTGCTTAAGGCCATGTTGATATTATTTCTTAGTGAGCATCTCCAACCTATTACCTACCTGTTTGCGAAATTTCATCTCGATTGGTTTAGTAGTTTTCGAGATTTCGTGTTCAATCAGTCAGTCAGTCAGTGAGTGAGTGAATTTCACGTTTATATATATATATAGATAATTTTAGCTCTAGGAGAGCCGAGAATAGGAATTTCCATGTGTCTCTAGTTCAGCTCGAGCTCAGCAAAACTGTATTTTTCGGTTTTTCAAATTTTTGACTCAAATTTTTCTTCTAGTTAAATTCCAATGCTTTTTTCATTATTTTCCAAGATGCTTCAACTTCAGGGGTCCTCAAGGTCAACGCTTTTCTTCGCTGTTTTTGATATTCTTGTGTAAGAATTTGAAATTTTCTCAAGATCTTCTCCAGTTTCAACCCCAAATCGTGCAAATTTGGACTGGAAATATCAAGCAATTATCAACCTTCATGTTTTACCTATACCTCTACATGTTCTTCCAATTATCAATCAATTCAGTTTATTTTGAGAAGATTTCGATTTCCTAGAAATAAATCAAAATGCCTTTTAAAAGGAACTTGTTGAAGGTGAAAAAATTCCTCCTTCATGAAGGGCCGAGAAGAAAATGAAGAAAGTGAAGGTAAGACAAAAAAATTAACTTTCTCCTGTGCAAAAAAACTCTATTTTCAGGATTTCTGATATAAATCAACATGTCTTTCTTTATCATCATCATTATTCGAAATTCTTCTTCATTTTTTGATTTTCTCAATCTCAATCATTCCAGTTCATTTCTATAATCATTTCCATGGAATTTACTCTGAAAAATATTTCAAGTCATCACAAAAACAGGTAAGATTACACCAAAATAGCCTAAGTTGACAAACATCACGCTGGGGGAATATCTGCTGCCATAACGTAGTTTGCTTGGATATATAAGGGGCAGATTACAGGTCTACCAGATAAAGGGGCAAAACTAATCTAGACAGTTGGTGTAACAACTGGTCACTGTTCGGGTAAAACTTATGACCAACCAACCACACCACAACCTAGTACTGGTATCAGGTTACTTTACTGGAGATGGGCAAGCACCATCAGAAAAAGTACAAAGACTAGTCGAGTACTGCAACAGGAGCAAACTACCGCACCTAATTGGTTGTGACGTCAACGCTCAAAACCCCATCTGGGGAATACCAACATAAATTTAAGAGGTGAGCAACTGTTAGAATTTATCTTTCAAACAAACCACAGTCAGTGTCGCATTCAAAAGGAAAAATATCCGAGTGATTCACTTGTTGTCTGTTCAAGTCGAGTTTTCCTTTAAATTTTGCTTTACAAGTGTCACATTCAAAAGGATAAATATCCATCCGAGTGTATTAATTGGTAACTCTTTAAATAGTATTTAGATGGAAAAGTGATACATTCACGGCCGACAGTGTAAGTTGGCAAACACCGAAAGTCAAGAATGTGCTTTTCCACCGAAATACACATACTATTTTTTCTGCGATCGGTTAAATATTTGTCTTTTTGTTCCAATTGTTCAGCAGTACAAGAATTACTTTCCCGGCCTAGGCCGGAAAAGTGATTCTCGTATTGTTATTCATTGATTCTTCAGCAACTATTGAAACATAATTAAAATACCAGAATATTGAGTTTTGCGACCTGTTAACCGGTCAAAAATGCTGACATTTCTTGTCAATCGCAGAAAAAGGCATTTTTGTTTAAATTTTGCTTTGCAAGTTTCACATTCACATTCGAAAGGATGAATATCCGAGTGTATTTGTTGGTGAATCTTCAGAAAGCGTTTTTGTTTGAATTTTGCTCTGCAAGTGTCACATTCAAAAGTATAAATATCCAAATGTTTTAGTTATTAGTCAGACAGGAGGTGTTAGGCATAACACTTTGTAGTCCAAATATTGACCGAATGATCAGGAATTGAAGAGTTTCCAATGAACCCTCTCTCTCTGATCACAAAATTATAATGTTTGACGTAAAAGGAGTGCAGTAACGAACCACTTCGTATAGAATCCCCAGAAATACAAACTGGGAAAAATACATAAACAAACTGCAATGCAGCTTCGAACAAAATCATTTTAGCTGCAAGAATATACATGAAGAAGAAGAAACCCTTCAGATCCTTAATAGGCAATCATGGAGGCATACGAATCCAGAAGTAAACAAAAATGGTTGCCCATGGTGGAACAGTCATTTGTCACGACTTAAATCCGAGGTTCGTTGGCTTTTTAACAAAGCCAAACGAGACGGATAATAGCAGGGCTACCTACACTGAAAGGCTGACTGAGTACAATAAACAAATAAGG